AAGTGGGAGGGGAGCTGTTGCATTGTGGTAAACTGTGGTCAATGACATGAGACAAAGTATATGTGAACTGCTGTATGGAAAGTGAATTTGCTCTATAAATCTTCACCCAAATCAAAATTTTAAAAAAACAACTACATCTTTGGAGAGAGACCATAGAGAAAGTCATTATTATCAGCCAGAACAAGTCCAAGGGCTGTCTGCAGAAAACACCATCAATTGCTTACTTGCAAGTTCAAGTTGAAGCTGAAGAAAATAAAAATAAGTTCACAAGAGCCAAAGTACAACTTTGAGTATATCCCACCTGAATTGAGAGACATTTCAAAACTAGAGTTGACGCATTGAACACTAATGACTGAAAACCAGATGAATTATGGGATGGCATCAAGGACATCAAATATGAGGAAAGCAAAAGGTCATTAAAAAGACAGGAAAAAAAAATACCATCATAGATGTCAGAAGAAATTCTGACAAAAGGAAGAAAGAATGAAGAAAAAGAGCTGAACAGAAGATTTCATGGGGCAGCTCAAGAAGACAAAGTAAAATATTAAAATGAAATATACAAAGACCTGAGATTAGAAAACCAAAGGGGAAGAACATGCTTGGTGTTTCTCGAGATGAAAGACCTGAAGAAACAATTTAAGCTTCAAGTTACAATGCTGAAGGTTTCTAAGGGCAGAATACTGAATGCCACAGGAAGCATTAAAAGAAGACGGGAGAAATACAGAGTCACTGTACCAAAAAGAATTGGTCAAAATTCAGCCATTTCAGGAAATAGCGTATGATCAAGAGCCGATGGTATTGATGGAAGAAATCCAAGCTGCACTGAAGGCATTGAAAAACAAGGCTATAGGAATTGGCAGAATACCCACTGAGATGTTTTATCAAATGGATGCAGTGTTGGAGGTGCTTACTCATTAATGCCAAGAAGTTTGGAACAACTGCTTGGCCAACCGACTGGAGGAGATCCATTTTTGTTCCCATTCCAAAGAAAGATGATCCAACAGTATGTGGAAATTATCTGACAATATCATTATCACACAAAAGTAAAATTCTGCTGAAAATAATCCTGCTACTGTTTGTAGCAGTGCATAGGCAGGGAATTGCCAGAAATTCAGGATTGATTCAGAAGAGGATGTGGAATGAGGAATATCATTGCTGATGTCAGATAGATCTTATCTGGAAGCAAAGAATATCAGAAAGGTATTTACCTGTGTTTTATTGACTATGGAAAGGCATAAATGACTGTGTGCATCATAACAAATTATGGATCACACTGTGAAGAAAAATTCCAGAACACTTAATTGTGCTGATGAGGAACCTGTACATAGACCCAGAAGCAGTCTTTGAACACAATAAAAGGATACCGTGTGGTTTAAAATCAGGAAGAGTGTGTGTCAGGGTTGTGTCCTTTCAACATACGTATTCAATCTGTATGCAGAGCAAATAATCCAAGAAGCTGGAGTATATGAAGAAGAATGTAACATCAGGATTGGAGGAAGACTCAGAAACAACCTTCAATAGGCAGGTGACACAACCTTGCTTGCTGAAAGGGAAGAGGACTTGAAGCATTTACAGGTGAAGATCAAAGACCTTTAGTATAGATTATACCTCAGCATAAGACAACTGGACCAATAAGGAACATCATGATAAAATATTGATTGAGAAATAACTGAAGTTGTCAAGGATTTCATTTTACTTTGATCCACAAACAACACCCATGGAAACAGCAGTCAAGAAATCAAACAATATATTGCGTTGGGCAAATCTTCAAAAGACCTGTAAAGTGTTAAGCAGAGATGTCATTTTGAAGACTAAAATGCACTTGACCCAGGCCATGACATTTTGAGTTTCCTCATATGTGAAAGCTGGTCAATGATCAAGAAAGACTGAAGAAGAATTGATGGATTTGAATTATGATGCTGGTGAAGAATGTTGAATATACCACGGACTGCCAGAAGAATAAACAAACCTGTCTTGGAAGAAGTACAGTCAGAATGCTTCTTAGAAGTGAGGATGGGGGCACTTCATCTCAAGTACTTTGGTTATGTTATTAGGAGGAACATTGCCTGGAGAAAGACATCACGCTTGGTAAAATAAGGGTCATTGAAAAAGAGGAAGACCCACATCTAGATGCATTGACACAGTGGCTGCGATAATGAGTTCAAACATAGTAGCAATTGTGCAGGTCCAGGCAGTGTTGTTCTCCTGTACATGGGGTCGGGATGGCTCAGAGAGGACTTGATAGCACCTAAGAACCACTCACAACAATGCAGCAAAGGAACGTGTCAAGATGAGAAACTAGAGAGGGAGAGATTAGGAAGAAGGCAGAGAAGAGAGATTAATAAATAATAAATTAATAAATGTTGTTATTTTGTTGTTATTTGCCGTCGAGTCGGCCCCGACTCATAGCGACCCCTCCTTGGGTTTCCGAGGCAGTATCACTACGGAAGTACATTCCACAGAAATAAATTAATAAATAATAAGTATATTGATAAATAAAACTAAAATATTGATCACTTAATGAATGCAAATTAAGTGACATTTGGGCTGTAAAGTAAAAATGTTGGTGTCAGCTCTGCCTTTACTGGCTGAGGACATCAGGTAGCCAGTAACAGTCACTGCTCTTATTACTTCTTTCTGCACAGGAAAGGAGCTTACCTACTTATTTGTACTTTAATTCAAAGTGTATTTTTGAACTACAGGTTTACTTCTCATGGAAATACTAAGACTACATGTTATTAAAAGTCCAAAGACATTTTCTTTGCAACTGTGATCAGTTTGTATAGTTATTTGGAAAATCTCTTTGATGTTTACAAGCAGCCTGGCTATTTTATCTTTGATTCTTAAATGATTAGGTTGACCTAGTCCTGCACTGCTTGAAGGTTACATTGGGAATAATAGGCTTGAAATTAAATTCAGCACAAATAAGACGTCTGTCATTCCTTTATACCTTGTCTTTTGGCTTTGAATCCTCTATCCCTCTGAAGAAAAAGTACTAAGATGGAGTTTTCTTTCTGTTAAATAGGCTGCTTCCTTGGGATTACTACAGTTTCCTATTCTTAATGCATCTGTGGATGAAGACTGCCAAAACATCACATACAAGGTTGGTTATGCATTATGTAAATGTTCTTGTTAAAAACAGAAAATATTGCCTGTAGCTTAGAGATGCTTCTAATGCTCAAATAGTGATCTTTTTTTTTAGACTAGAATTAAAGGTCTGGGATAAAATACAGTGAAACCTGTGAGACCTGGACTTCCTTGTTTTTCCAGGTCTTGCACGTTCTCTGCCTTTGATAGAGTATGGTCTTACCACTTTTCTATTGCTCTATTTAGTGGAAAATATTTGAATTTTCCTTCTCTGCCAGGTTTTTGCCTAACACATGATTCAGCTTTCTTAGGTTTTAGTGTATTAAAGTATAATTTTTTGTTTTTACTCATTAATGATACTGTTCAAATATGCAGATTTCCATTTTAAGTCCTTTTAGTTTTCTGTTTAAGATAATGGAAATACACAGCTGTGAGACAATGGATTATGTTACATACAGTACATCTCCTCCCCTCAAAAGACAAAAGCTCTCTCAGAATTTTTAAAACAAGAATCATTTACAAGAGAAAAGTAATGAATATTTGAATTCAGTTTGAATGAACTCTCCTGACTGGAGTGAAAGTTTACTAAGATTGATAACTCTTTTTGGGCTATGAATCCTTATTTACATTTCTCATTAGAAATATATATGTTAATATATTCCCATATATATGATTAATACAGAAAGACTTTGCAAACATAGTTGATTTTCTGTTTTATATGAGAAGCTATTTATATTTATTTTAATAATTTCCCATTAAATGTGTATCTACTCACCTATTAATAAACATTTTGATTATTTGCAATTTCTCAAACTTAGAAAGAGATATACATTCCATACGTATCTCTACATATAGTAATTCCTGGGTTACAAACATCCAACTCATGGACAACTTGGACTTGTCCTTTAATGTTGCATAAATTTGCCTTCACATTGAAATGATGGGACCAACCCCAACTCACAAGAAATTTTTCATCACAATCACCTTTTCTTGCACTAAAGTGAGGCTAAATAAGAATCACATGCACCTATTCTGATTTATCTGCAAATTTGACTTAAAGACACTTAGGAGTGGATCACATTCAAGACATCGGAATTGTCTGTCTTCTGCATTTATCTCCTTAGCATAAATTTTTATAAATGGGATTTTTGGAGGCATATTGTTAAATATGGGAGCTCTGGTAGTGCACTTGACTGCTAACCAGAAGGCTGGCGGTTCAAACCCATCAGCCACTCCTCGGAAGGAAGATGGGGCAATCTACTTCCATAGTGATACTGCCTCGGAAACCCAAGGAGGGGTCGCCGTGAGTTGGGCCCAACTCGAAGGCACATAACAACAACAACAACAACAATTGTTAAATATTCTTCAGAAAGTCTATAATAGCTTATATTCATTCCCACTAACAACATAGAAAAATGGCCTGTTGCCCTATGTTCTTGTCAGTAAATTATTATCTTTCTCAAAAAATTTTTAAAAACTTATTTAAAAGCATATTTTTAGTCACTGCCAATCTTTTGATCATTGTTCTCAAAGACATTGTAAGTTGTTCCTTCCTTTCCTGTTAGCTTATTTATTAAAAGCCCTACTATATAATTTTTATTTTTTAGGCTTCTCATAATATTGGGATAGCAATGGATACTGAGCAGGGCTTGATTGTGCCCAATGTGAAAAATGTTCAGATCTGCTCTATCTTTGAGATTGCCACTGAATTGAACCGTCTCCAAGAGTTGGGCTCTGCAGGTCAGCTCGGAACTGCTGAACTTACAGGAGGGACATTTACTCTTTCCAATATTGGATCAGTGAGTAATACAGTGTTCATATTCATAAACCATAGCTTAAGGTTTCTGATCACATGGTCATTTAAAATACAAAATGTCCTCTGCCATTTGAACTCCCAAAGCTTAAGTTTTTACTCTTCCACTTTTTTTTCAGATTGGTGGTACTTATGCCAAACCAGTGATATTGCCACCAGAAGTAGCAATTGGGGCTCTTGGATCAATTAAGGTATGTTTTTCAATAATTGAAAAAACAAGTTTTAGGCTAATTGGAGGAGAGGTAAACACAAAGAAGAGAACTATTTCTGAGGTTCTCCCTTCACTCTGTAGGTTTGAGTTTGCAAAGTTTGACTCAGTAAGCCTATTATTTCTTCCTAAGTGCTAGGCCTGAAATTCCAATAGCTGCCTCTGAATATAATAAATGGTGGTGATTTTGGCTTGTTTCTGTATGGATCAACCACTGCGGATTATGCCAGGTACAGATGGGGGGTTCTTTAGGGATAAGCACAAATGCAGCCATTTTGCTTCTCTCAAAATATTATCTTTATTTCAAAATACCAAAGAAAAATAGTAGCCCCATCAAATTATTTGTAACAAAGTGAGACACTATTTAGAGCATTTCCCTCAAATATTACTCTGTTTAAAAAGCTTTGGGAGTGCTAATTAAAGATTCAGATTTCTGGGCCTTGACGTAGAGCCCCTAGAACTTATGTTTTAAACAAAAACACAGGTGGTTCCAACACAGGTAGATCTGTGGTCCTGTTTAGGAGACACTGATTTAGAGTAAGGGTTGCAGTGGTTCTTAACCTTGGCTGTGCATTAGAGTCCTCTGGGAAGCTTAAAAAAAATTGTGCTCAAGCTTTGCCCACACCAACTAAATCAGAATTTTAGGGGATAGAGCCTAGGCCTCTCTACTAACTCATTTGAGAACCAATGACTTAAATGAAAAAGCTCTTGGATAACATTTTGATACCACCTTTATTGAATATCATTTGTTATTAATCACTATACTCACCTTGGTTTTGTTCTTCATGATTTAAAGAGAACCTTTCTTCTTCTTCATACTTAATGCTTCCACACTGAACATCTCTGGACTTGTCTTTCATGAGTTTACTTTTTATGTTGGCATCCCAAACCTTCACAAACACTTTCATTCAGCTTTGATCTGCTTTCAGGCAGGTTGTGCATTGGCTGCTAAGTTACTCCCATTTCCTAGTATCCACTTTCTCTTCTGGCAAACAGAGGAGATATGGAGAAAAGGCAATAAGGTATAGCACTTTTGATCACAGCATGAGACCATTCTTTCCAGACTAGGATTTTCTGTAAGTGACAATAACTTCTCTCATTTATTCTCTTTCCAACAAGAATTCAGTATTTGAGTCTCACAAAATTCTTCTTGCTTCCTACAATTTCCACATCATCACACCTATTTGACAAATACGGGTTTATTTTCCTTAGCGAGCTTTCTTTTCTTCTCAATTCTTTAGATACATTTTTATAAAATCACTTTACCCATGGTGTCTTCAACCTATGAAGCATAGTTCTTAGCATATAAATCTTCACAATGATTTAATTTGTTGGATTGTGACAAATAGTATTTAATTCCTCTCTCCCTTTATGAATTCTTTTCTCCCTTTATCACTCCTTTGCTATTCTCTGTTTTCATTATACATTTTTAGACATATTTCTTTTTATTTTTTTATTGTGATTAGGTGAAAGTTTACAGAGAAAATTCATTTTCCATACAGTAAGTAGTTCATACACATTTTGTTTCATGACATTGACTGCAATTCCCCCACAATGTAAGAGCTCTCTTCCCACTTCTTCCCTGTAGTTACCTCTTCCCTGTATCCTTCCCTCCCTTGCACTCCTGTTCCCTGAGCTAACTCCCTGTGCAAACACTGCCCTTCTGTTCTCCTACGATTGATCTCTCCAAGGAGTGTATCTACCTGATGTAAATGTTCACCCCATATACCTATTTATTGTTTGGCTGGAAGCCACAGGAGTCAGTTTAGTTTCGGACCTGAAGGTTAACTAGGGCCATAGTCTCTGAGGTCTCACCAGGCTCTATCAGACCAGCAAACCTGTTTCTTTTTTTTTTTTTAATGATTTTGAGTTTTTCCACATTGTTATTCCACTCTTTCCAGGATCTCCTGCACCGATCCCCCTTTAAGCGATTGACAGTGGTAGCTGGGCACCACCTAGTTCTGGTCTCATGGTCATATGCTGAGGATCATATGGTCTACTAGTCCCTTGGACTAATTGTTTCCATGCATCTTTTGTTTTCTTTATTCTTCTTTGCTCTGGACAAGGAGAGACCCATTGTTGCATCTAGATGGCCATTTGTAAGCATTTAAGACCACAGTCGTTACTCACCAAAGTAGGATGTAGAACAATGTTATGCCAGTTGAACTTGATGTCCCCCACGACCATGGTCCTGAGCCCACAAGTCCAACTGATCACTCCCTCATGGTAGCTGGCCATGGCCAAGAAGCCACCCCAACCTTGGCCCTAGTCAACTCTACTCTATACCCAGACATTCTTACAGCACATACAAATACACTTGTAGAAACATTGTCTGCCAACCCTACACATGGTCATGAGCATGTTTTTAAACATCTTGTTGCTAAATTGTTGTTGAGTAACCTCCATTCCAAACCTGTTGCCCTCGAGTCAGTTCTGACTCATGGTAAGCCCGTGGGTTACAGGGGAGAACTCTCAGTCATTACAGACGCAGATTGCTGGCCTTTTCTTCTGTGGCACTGCTGGGTGGTTCAAATTGCCAACCTTTGGGTTGGTGGTTGTGTGCAAACCATTTACACCACCCAAGGAGCTCTGAGTAATCTCTGTGTTAATTCTGAGTCTTATCTTCCTTGCGCTAGACAAGACAGTCAATCATTGGAGCACCTGGAACACTTTCATTTTGGCTTGTAGAATAGCACGCTGTCCTCGTTTTCCTCCTGTCTCACTTCCCATTCCCTCTGAGTCTTCTTCACCCATGCCTCCCCACATTTTCAATATCTAAACATTGGCATGCCCTGAAGCTCACTCCTGACCCTGTTCTTTATTTATACCTAATCCCTTGATGGTCTGATCCATTCATATGCTGATGTTCTTAGGTTGACATCTCCAGGTCTGACCACCTCTTTGAACCACAAACAGACATAAACTGACTGAATGTCTAATAGGCATCTTGAATTTTAACACAACTGAGCCCTTGCTTCACCATCCCCTGCTCTCAAACTTGCTGTACCCCTTTTCCAAAAACAGACCAAACTCACTGCTATCAAGTCGATCCTGACTCATAGTGACCCCTTCTTGGGTTTCCGAGGCTATATCTCTACGGAAGTAGATTGCCCAGTCTTCATTCCAAGGAGTGGCTGGTAGGTTTGAACCACCAGCCTTCTGGTTAGCAGTCAAATGCCTTAGGCACTATGCCACTAGAGTTCCTTCTATCCCTTTTGGTGAATGGTTATTCTGCTTAGAAACCTCCAGTGACTCCATATCACTCAGAATAAAAGGCCAAATACCTACAATGGCCATACACTGGTGGTACTTGGAGTGTGATCCAGACCCCTATTGATCCATGACTACTGTACCTGAACTGTGAGGAGATAAATACAGAAAGGGAAAACAGGGCTTAGAAACTTGGGCAGCAATTTGACAGAATGATTTTACATCTGTTGAATCTAATAGTAAATATTAGGGCTTGTATTTTATGTCATTTAATTTCATTTTTCTGGTAATTTATTTTTTATGTGTTTGAGTTTGGTGCAGTGAATTAGAAATTTGGAAGGAAAAAAAAAAAGACCTTTACCAAAGACAGCTTGCAAAGAATAATGATGTGACCCACCTTCAGCCCTCTCCATCTGTGACCTCACTCATCTCCCACCACATACTGCTGCCGTCCACGGCAGCTACCCGCTACTGTGCTGTTGCTCCAACACTCCTGTCCTGCTTCTCCTCAGTCTCTTCCTCCAGGTACCCTTTACTGAGGATACCTCTAGGTGAGCCTTTCCGTGCTCGGCCTGTCAGCAAATGACACCTGTCCCCTACCTCCACCCCTGCCAAACCTCTCTATCCCTTTTCCAAACTTCTTTGTTTTTCTTTGCACTTTTCACCATTATGTATTTTTATTTAGTTAATTGTCTCTTCCCTTTAAAGTGTAAGCTGTGAGAAGATAACACCTGTGTTTTGTCTAGCCCTAGAGCCAAGAAGAAAGATACCTAGCACCTAGTAGATGTTTTATAAATATTTGTAAAGTTATTGAAGTCTAAGATAACATTTAATATAGGTATGGAACTTATACAGAGGACAGGAAATAACTTGGAGAAACAGAAAAATTGAGGCATGTACACAAAAAAGTAATGGGAAAAGTAAGAACATTTTCAGAAGCCACCAGGATAACCATTCCCTTCCTATTGCAGGGAGGGGGATTATCTGATCTTAAGGCACTGGTATTGTTAGAACTTGAGCATTGAACAAGTGAAAGTTTACTCTTTGTTCTTTTCATTATTTTTAGAGCCTTCCTCGATTTAACCAGAAAGGAGAAGTATATAAAGCCCAGATAATGAATGTGAGCTGGTCAGCTGATCACAGAGTCATTGATGGTGCTACAGTGTCCCGCTTCTCTAATTTGTGGAAATCCTACTTAGAAAACCCAGCTTTTATGCTACTAGATCTGAAATGAAGATGGATAAGACATCCTTGAACTTTTTGGACTTCCAAAGAATATGTAAAGCTTAGCTGTGACAGCACATGTTTTTGATTGCAATTTGTATAATAAATGATTTATATTGTATGATCAAGGTTCTAAGGGAAAATATTCATTGCTATTCTGTTAGACTTTTTTACTGAAAGTGAGTAATGGTGTGATTGTTCTCCTGGGCTGTCCTGTTACATATTATAGGTCATAGTGTGACTTTAGTATGCTGTTGAGGTCTTTATGTCAATGGATTGAAATTGGCAAGAACATCACGTTAATGTTACTAAAAGACATGTAGCCATATACAGTATTTGCTCTGTTCCTTTTTTTCTTTTTTAACTGACTCTTGATGAAACTTTTCACTCAGCTACTCTTAGTTGGGAAAAGGAATTTATATACAAAAATGTTTTCCTATTTCCCCACAATAAGACAAATAATTATGTAAAATAAGTGCAATTATACTTATTTTTACAGTTATCCAGGAGTATATTCTTTATCAAGATTATCATCTATAAATGTCTTATTTATGTAAATTAACATCTTTTGAAACATAGACTTATAAATGGATCATAAAAATATTCTGTTTGTTATAGTTTTATAATCACTAAGACTATGAAAAAGTATTAGTTTAAGACAAATAAACTTTCAGAATTTTGGTAATATTTTGGTGTTTTGTTGGGAAAACTTTACCTTCACAAATTTGTAGCAGCCTCTAGCATTTTCTTATATTCAGAAATCTTTTGCCTTTTTACATTCTTGGCCATCAGCTGAAAAATAGGATAAAAAATTGAGGTCTATTCTATCCTCCATATCCCAAGTGGGAAAGTGAATATAAAATAGTAAATTTCATACAGAAATGAAGGTATAATGATCATTTCATTAGAAGCCCACTATCAGAAATGGTATCAGAATGTATATAGTCCAAAATTTTTATTTTTATTCTGAAATCCAAGTTGTTTCTAATACTGTCTATATGAGTATTATATGCCAAATTTATTTGTTCAAATGAAGTGTTGCAACAGAAAAAAATAGTTTTGATGTCCACTTGATTTTTTACAAAATGGAAATAATTGTTAAATCACAAAATAATAAATAATTCAGATAATAATGATACAAAGGAAATAAAACCATCCATAATCCCACCACTATTAATATTTTAATCATTGCTTGAACAATTTCTCTTAGAAAGATCAGCACAAGGCCAATCCCCATGAGGTGGAGGTTAAAAATGTCCCAAATGTCCAAAGTACTATGCCACTCCATCATTTCAGACATTAACTCTTCCTCTTCCTCCCAGTAATCTCCCCCGTCTTAGGGTTCTGTATTTTGCTGTAACGCCTCACAGAACTCACAGACACCCAAGGGATCATCTCACATAGTAGCGGTGGAGGCTGGCGAGTCCCAGGTCTGTGAGTGGGTCTGGAGGATCCTCCCAATTCTCAGGGTTTGATGAACCTCTATCAGCAGATCAGATGACGGCTGTTGTCCCAAATCCAGGGGTGAGATGAGGATGAACCAAAACACAGAACCAGAACAAGAGGAGGGTGAACCTTCCCAGGAAATTCGTAGGTATACCCTCAAGGAAGCTAAGGGTGGTGATTTGAGTTATACCCTCCAGCAAGGTGGAACTCAAGTTATATCCCACCTGTGCTGCTCCAACAGAAATAACCCAAGTGGATGGCTTTAACAATCAGCAGCTACTCAGTTGCTCACAGCAAATCCCACCACAGAGCTGATTGTCAGTCATCATAAGGAATGACTACTACCAGCTGCCCAGCCAAGTTGATACACAACCTTAATTACCACACCACCCTAAATAGGCATGGATAATAGGATTTACAACACATCACAAAATGGAAGATAATGGCTAGAAGGGCCACATCGAGCAGTTCACCACAATCATGTACCTGTATACATAGCTGTTCTTTTTATAAAAATCAGTCATACTATAGCTATTTTATAATTTGATTTTTTAAATTTAACAATATATTATGAGTAACTTTACATGTTGTGGTACTTATGTTTGTGTGTCAACTTGGCTGGGCCTGGTTGAGTGGCTGGGCAGCAGGTGGTAGTTATTCCCCATGATGAGACTGGCAATCAACTCCATGGTGGGATCTATCACAAGCAGCTGAGTAGCTGCCTTTGGGCTGTGGTCTGCTTCCTGTATTTAAGGAGAGGCCTTGGGAATGGTCTCTAGCCTTTGGCACACTTGGACCCTGCATGTAGCTGTGTCATTGCTCAGCAGCCTGCCATGCTCTGCTGACCTTGGGACTTACAATGGACTTAAGTTAATGGCCTGCCGTGTGGTTTGGTAACATCAAGACTGTGCCTTTTTACTTGTCAACCTTGGGGCTTCTCAGCCTCAGCAGCCAGCAGCTGTCTGAGTGAAGAAATGGCTCTAGCTCCAGTGGGCCAGGAGCAGGAGGCAGAGCTGGACCCCACGGTTGAGGGGCTTTCACCTAGCCCCTAGAGCCTGGCACTTTGACTTTGGCTTAAAGCCTCCAAATTGTAAGAATAAACTCTTGTTTGTTAAGGCCATCCCATTTGTGGTATATTCTTGTCAGAGTGGCACTAGGTAACCAGAACACATGTCAATAAACAATTCTACATTATCATTTTAAATGGCTGCATGCTATTTTATTATATGCATTTAATCATACTTATTATTTTTTTTTTTAAATACTCAAATACTTATTTTAAAAAAAACTCCACTATCATCGAGTCAGTTCCAACTTATAGCAATCGCCTTTGGGTTTCTGAGGAAGTAAATCTTTATGGAAGTAGTTTGCTTAGTCTTCCTTCTGTGGAGTGTCTGGTAGGTTTGAATGCCAACCTTTTGGTTAGCAGTCACATGCCTTAGGCACTATGCTAACCAGCTCCTTATTAGGCATATATTATGTACCACACACAATGCTAAGCACTGGGCCCACATTGCCCACCCTTGTGGTCCCTTCCTTCATTGGACCTGTAGCCTAGTGGAAGAGAAAGCTGTTAAATAATCATAAAAATAAAAATAGATTTGCACAACTAGGTAGAAAAAGCATAGTGTGCTAAGAGAGCATGTAACAGGCTATTGACCCTGTCTGGGGGGATCAGGAGATAGATGTTTCATAATTTAGCCATTTCTCTATTGATAGGCATTAGCTGGATTTTAAATGAGGAATTTGAATTTTACTTAAAGAATGTGAAAACTAGGAGAAAGGGAGTTTTGAAATAATTAAACATACCACTGTTGAAAAGAATGTCCTGCATCTTTGGCTCAAGATATTTTCTACTTTCTCAAAATAACTCTTAAGCTGTCTATTCTATTCCAACCTCCTGCTTTTACCATCTTCTCTTTAGTCTCATCCATTGGGAATTCAGCAAGGATTTGCTCCCTGCTGTGTGCAGGACCTTTCCCTGGAGTAGACTAGAAGGCCAGACCACAGTCCTGGCAGCAGTGCTGAGCCAAAGGACTTTACACATCAAAGTGGGGGGACAATGCTTTTTATTTTCCCTAATTGTTACTTGGATGAAAGTTCACAGAGCAAATTCATTTTCCATACAACAGTTCATAGACATTTTGTTTCATGACATTGATTGCAATCCCCATGATGTAACAGTTTTCTCCCACTTCCCGTCTGTGATTACCTTTTCCCTGTGTCCTTTCCCAGGCATTCCTGCTTCCTGAGCTATCTCCCTGTGCAAGTACTGCCCTTCTGATCTCCCATGGCTGATTATTCTAAGGAATGTACTTACCTGTTGTAAATGTTCACCTTATATGCCTGTCTTTTGTTTGGCTGGAAGCCACAGGAGTAAGATCAATTCCAGGCCTAAAGGGTGACTAGGGGCCATAGTCTTGGGGGTTTCACCAGTCTCTATCTAACCAGTAAGCCTGGTCTTTTTTATGATTTTGAGTCTTGTTCCACATTGTTCTCCTACTCTGTCCAGGATCTCCTGTACTGATCCCTTTCCGAGTGGTTGACAGTGGTAGCCGGGCACCATCTAGTATTTCCGGTCTCTCACTCATGTAGGCTGAGGTTCACATGGTCCACTAGTCCTTTGGACTAATCGTTTCCATGCATCTTTGGTTTTCTTCATTCTCTTTGCTCCGGATGAGAAGAGATCATCTTAGATAGCCATTTGCAAGCCTTTAAGTCCCCAGTTGCTACTCGGCAAAATAGGATGTAGAACAATGTTTTGTGTAATATTGTCACAGGATGGGGATCCTGTGAGCCTTTTGGTGGGCTCTTGTTTCCTGCTGAGAAAGAATTGCTCAGAGAGACAGACAGATTTTAAAAGCAAGCCTTTAATAAAACACTGGGCAGCAGAACATCAGTCAGGTGGGCAGAGGCGCACTAGCCAACCTGAGCTCTTTGTTCTACACACAGTAGGTATAGGGAAGCAAAATGCAGAAGTTGCACAAGCAGCAAATTAGGGACTTGGGTCTCAAGGTTATCCTTTTTTTTTTTTTTTGGAAGTTGGATGACATTCCTTTTCCAGACCCCTGAATAATCCTATTATGGAAGGTGGTGGGCTTCTCTTCAGGTCCTGCACTTTCCCCAGAAAGATGTTTTCTTTTGTTTGAACAAAGGGGAGGCTGTCACAGGGTATCCTGTGCCAGGAGATAACAGCCCAGTGATTACAGAGCAGTCAGGTTTTGCAATTGCTATCAGCAAGGAGTGTTAGTTTGTTTATACTATCTCAAGTATGTGCTGTGCCTTCCACTCACAGTCCATGGGAAGAGAAGTGGCCTAAGATTTAGTAATGCAGCAAAATAGTCACAAAGGAATTAAGCAATCTTAATAATATAAAAATTTGGTAGGGGTTATTTCACTCTTTACATGTGTCCCTATCTCAGTATGTTATGCCAGTTGAGCTTGATGTGCCCCACAACCATGACAAAGTGGGGGACAAGGCTTTTGCTGTATTCCTAAAGGCTGAATTGAAATGGGAGAAGCCAAAACATACAAATCCTCTAATACATCTGGTGCTTAGAAGGCATCTAAGCAAGGAGAGAAGCAAAGATTATTGCTGGAAATGGTCAACAAGAAAATCAAGATTCCATTCACTATGTAGAGCATCCTGCTGACATTTGAAAAGGAGGCACAACAGGGAAGGAAGTTTGAAGGACAGTTAGGAGGCTGAACTGGTATTAATCTCTATGTTGGAAACCAAAAATCACCTTGCGATGCACCTTGAAACATCAAAATAGGAAGTTATATAGGAAGAAGAAATTAGTGTGGCAATTTCTTTGTCCAGAAAGCCCACCGGCCTATTTAGGTAT